ACGGAAGGCACCCATTGCTCTCTGCGATCCCACCTTCAGTAGTTCGACTAACACCAGGCACACACCTGTCGCTCTTAATAAAGTCTTAGAGCATGGCCCCTGGGGTGGGAGTCCGAACTCCAAAGTTGATACCAAAGCCTCCAGACAATGAACGAGGGATCAAATGAAAGGACAGTCCAAAAAGCCACTGCATTTACAAGCGGCACATCGCATGGGATTGAACAATCACTGAAATTCGCAAAAAGTTACAAGAAACTACTAGTAGCTCCTGGCCTTACCAGTAGGAACAAGAAGCTACTAGTAGCACAAAAGCTTGGCCAGTTTAAGCGCTGAGCTTTGAGGACTCGAGCTCGTGACGGTTGGATAGCGACCTGCAGTGTCTTCCGCAACGCCGCGTGGAAGTAACTGATATTGCGTCCTTGTTACTAGTAGCTTCTTGTTACTAGTAGTATGGCCAGGAGCTACTAGTAGCGTCCTTGCTCCTAGTAGCGATGCCCTTTGCTACTAGTAGCTTCTTGCTCCTTGTGGTCAGCGAAATCAAGAGAAACCTTGCATTGTTCAATATAATGGGAGGCAGGACTTGGTGGAGGCAAAATCAATTGACTCCCATGTTTTTTGTACGGATCAACGGATCAGTGTCTGACATGACCTGGCCCTCATTCCTCTCAGCCATAGATTGACATCGACAACTAGAAGGAACGAATTGAAATCAAATATATAGTCCGGGACCGAAAGTTAGAATGCCGTGCGGTTTCTCAAAATGTTCATGACAAAAGATAGAATGCCGTACTGAACGAGTTAGAATGCCGTACTGAACGAGTGTTTTAAAGAAAAGCATGAGAAAGACGTGCTTTTTGCCTGCTATTTGTGATGTATTGTACAGTTAGAATGCTGGCTGACTCCAGGCGGTGTCCATTAACCGATAACATCAAAAAACACTTACAAAAGCACAACAAATAACGGTTGGAATGCCTCCTACGGGTCTTCAAAAAGGTTGGTTGGATGAATGGGTGGATGGTCATGGATAGATGGAGATGGATGGAAATGGGTGGGTGGGTAGGTGGGTGGATGGATGGATGGATGGATGGATGGATGGATGGATGGTGGGTTTGTGGGTAGGTGGATGGATGGATATGGATGGAAAGGGTGGATGGATGCATGGATGGATGTGGGTAGGTGGATGTGGCATTCTATCTGTTTGATCTGTCGTAAGGGTCGTTCTCTTTTGTTCTTTTTGTGGGCAAGCGATGAACTCATATCAACACATATAAGAAATCATAAAAGGCATTCAATCTGTCTGCTCCGTCGTAAGGGTCGTTCTCTTTTGTTCTTTTTGTGGATATTACAGGTGCAACAGCATTCTATCTGGGTCATGATTTCATGATTTTGGCGGCATTGCTGTAAACGGCTGATATCATCTAAAATCGGCATTGATATTTCCCAAACCGTCATTCTAACTTTCAGTCCCGGACTATAATTGATCACACCATTTCACATGACAAAATATGTCGATATTATCTTTTCCTATGTGTTCATTTTCGCGTTTCTGATGTCAACTATTTATACAATATCCGCCTTTAATATCCTTTAATCCTTAGCCTTAGTCGTACCCTGCCCTTCCCAGGCTCAGACCTCGCCCAACATCCCGCTGCTGCGGCGACCTCAAATACAGTCGGAGGTAGTTGGGTCAAGATCTTATAAGCGTATTATACCTCAGCTTGTTCCAAAATAGCTCAGTTCAAGTACATCTGAATTAAGCTTCATAGGGTTTTTGAAAAGAAGTCTAAGAGAGGGAAATCAGAAGGTGAGGGCCCTTACCTTTTCTTTCCTCTTATATAGTCCTCTTGGGGTTGTGTAGAAACCATCAATGGACGACTTCCCATCGGCACATCCCCAAGTCCACAATCTTATCATTTGGTGTTCTACTCAACTCAGGTTGGTGCCTGAGCTCCAGGTTGGTGCAGGAATTGGCAAAACGGTCTCCACGGTAACACTAGCATGTTGGCATGTTGGATTTTCTTACTGCAAACCGAAGAGTAAGTTGTTTGTTTGTTCCACTGCCCTATTGGCTCCAAGCGCCCAAGGCCTGAATTAATTCAGCTTTCGCACAAAGGGGCGAGGAATAGAAGCTACACATGCAAACAAACAAGAAATCAATGAACAGGGTAACAGAACAGCTGCAGCATCCAAAAGCTTACCAAGGGCTGCAGGCATCCTGAATGGACTTGCGCTGACTCCATCGCCAAGGAACTCGTTCCGCCGGGAAGACCCTGCAGGAGTATGACATAACTTTTGGAAGCCCTTGCAGACTGAGCTGAATTTCAACGTGCAAGAAGCCAAAAAATGACGTGGTTCAAGGAAGCTACTAGGGGCTCCTCGCCTTACTACTAGGAGCAAGGAAGCTACTAGGGGCAAAGGGCATCGCTACTACCTCTGTGGTTCTCTCTCTCTCTCTCTCTAGCTTGATCGCAGATTCGCCTCGCGGAGGCGGATCGTTCGAACTGGCTCGTCTCTCCCTGGCATTCTTCTCAAGACACGCAGGGCTCTCCTCTAAAAGAATACGTTCAAAGACTTTGAAAGTGTATATACTGCACGCAGTAAGACAAAAGAACTGATGTTCTGAAGAAATACATGAGCAGCTAAGTTGTTGAGCTCAAAGTCAAGACAAATCCGCACGGAGGGCTCTGGAACTGGACTTTCCTCGGCGCCAGCGTACTCAGCTCGTATAAAGTCTAAGCTTTTCTGCCTTCGATTCTCCCTGTGGGCTGATCCCCTCAACAATCAAAATCCGCACTGGGTTCCAAACGCTTCTACGCCCCATGGTGAGGGAGTCTCTGAGATTGGTTGGGCCTGGGTTCTCCGTCGCAAAGTGCACCGTAAACGAAACTACGTCAGCTACGCTCCAACGGATTTGTAGCTTAGCCCGCCCAAACTTAATTAAGTAGGCGCCTACCGAATTTATGTAAGGGAGAAGTAATCTACTAGCAATAGGAAGCTCGACGCAGGATAGCTCACGCTTCTTCAAGGGGCAGAGGGGAGCTTCCTTGAAGGAAGCGCTCGCACTATATAATGATTTGGTTCCTAGGTTTTTGACATGAGAAAAGTTTTAAAAACTGCTTGTCAAATGTATCCTTTGGTAGTTGGGTCATGTCGCCTTTTCGGATCTCGCGAGACTCTGGGGCACGTGGATCCCGGTCTCGCAGATCCCGGTCCCGCACATCCCGGGTGGCTGGCCTCAAATTGAAATGGAGTGAGACTTGGACACAGCTATCCAACCTGACCTAATAGCGATGGCCTTCAACTGAATAGCGATGGCCTCCAACCTACTAGACTCAGCTTGACCATCCTAGGCTCTCTTTGCTTATTATATAGGTCTCTCACTTATAGGTCTCTATTTATGATCATTTCTCGACTCAGCACTCATGGGGCTTTTGAGGCAGACATCATTGGGTATCCAGCATCGGGGAGCCACGCGACGCCTCAGCACGGGTCAACTTGCTGCAACCACAGCAACCTCAAACAAGGTGCCTCAAGGACGCTACGAACGGAGCAAAGGGCATCGCTACTAGAAACAAGGACGCTACTAGGGGCTCCTGGCATCGCTACTAGGAACAAGGACGCTACTAAGAGCAAACCACGATCGGTGCCTCAAACCCGGAGCTGCTCCCCATGGGATGTGGGCCTTAGCAACCACTGCAATTGCAGGCAGCTTGTTCCAGTGCCAGATCTAAAGTCTCGGCAGCTAAAGAGTTTTATTGGTATTAAAAACGCTCCAAGTGGCCCAAAACAAGGCATCTTTTCGCCACATTCCCTCAGCGGAGCAGGTCAACCCTCTCACTTGGCTGCGAATACCTCCATCTCAGAAGTAGTGATCCAAGCATTGTTCTGGTACTTGATGATGC